AAGTTCGACGCTAGCAGCAAAACCGAAACACGCATAATACCGTTATAGATGATTATGTCGTACCTCATAAGATATACTAGCGCCTGCACGATCGATTGTAACCCACCTGAGGCGGGTTCTGGCGAGCAGAACAACGCGAGATGCATCGGACACGGCAGGAGTTCAAATGCAATTGATCCTTGGCCAGCCTCTAGGTAACTAAGAACAAATAAGAGGTACAGTATGGCGTGAAATCTGATCTCGCATGAAAGGGTCATGAGAGCAGTTTTAAGGCTCTTGTCACAATGAACGATTTGAAGCAGGTTCAGTGTGATTGAGTAGCACCGACTGAGAGCGGTGCCTCGTCCGACCTAGCGTCTACAAAGTTTCTTCAATGTGACCAATTCCATTGCCGGTAATGGTAAGGGTTTGACTGTTGAATTAGTCAGTAACTACCGTAATATTACGGAAATTATTAAATTATTAATTAAAAGTCGTAATGAACGGATCTCATGGCGGTAAATTAATTAATTAATTTATTACCATAAAAATCTGATTTTATACGATGAGACAAATAAAAGAGTACCGCGGACTGATTTGCAGCAAGCGACTTCCAAATATAGTGCCAACTGCTAAAGTCGATGTCTTCGATTAGAGCTGTAAAGGACGCTGTCAAGGAGGAAGCAGGCACACGTACAAATCGTCCGCTTACCGTACGGAGGTGGGTTCGTTTGGAGAAGATCCACGAGATGAGCACTTGCGATATTCGGAATACAAAATTCCGGACTTGAGGACATCGATTCGTCCTCATAAGCATAGGACTGCTGAATGGTCAGCTCAGGAGCCAGCGAAAACGATAGAGCGTCAATAGGGCTGAGTTCCGTTGACGTACACCAAACAGTAGTAAGCACGGAAATGAACGTGAGACAACACCGAAGTGCGACCATGATTCGCACTCAAACTCTGAGCACCGGTCGCGTGGGGACGGCCTCACAGTGTCATATGCGTCAGTGGTCAGGGTCCAACAGTGAATCTGGAAAGAAAAAAATAAACAAATAACTACATATGTCACGATGATACCAATATGCAAACATTGGGTCAGCGTTAAGTTAATATTAATGTAGATTAATTTATA